CACTAAATCACTAATGTTCTATTTTCGTATGACAACGTTCTTGCAAGTGAATATCGGGTAAGTATTCTCCATATTTACTGAACCTGAGGCGATTAATCTTCTTAGCATATACCAAGTTGTGTACAAAGTAACTTATTTTTATATACAATAATTCAATAAAACAAACTAACAGAAACTTTTAGCTTGCTTGACAAATTCACGCAAAACCTTTAGGAAAACTTTTAGCAAACCTTTTTAGGCCATACTTGGTTGCTTTTTTAGTATTGATAGGAATGGAATTTACTTTCATTTTTTCAATTTCCTCATCGGAAATGGTAGCAAAACGATTGCCGGCAGATGCCATTTTTGTTGCCGACTCAATATTCCGAGATTCAGACGTGAATGTCGTACAATATTCACTTCCAATTAACCAATGAGCGCGCGTGTTCTTAGGAAGTACACAAGTTGGTATATGCTAAATATATATACTACTGTACTGTACTATACTATAGTACTGTTATTACTACTTTATCTACGGCAAGAAAGTGCATGCACAGTACACACTGCCCACAAGCCGTTGGAGGCCATTTTCAATAATAAAATATGCAGCTGCCCTACCAGACTACAGAGATTTATATTGAGAGCACTCAAGTATGACGTGTCAGGGAAGTATGTAAAGGTAGCAGAAGTATCTATTGCTCACACACTCTTCAGAATCTCACCGCAGCCAGTACCGGCGGCTGGAGGCCAACTTCCAGAGCACCAAAACCCTACCAGCATCTCCAATAAATCTATAGCAGATTCGTAATGAAACTTCAAGCGATCCAACCTCAAGCAAAGTAAGCAAGGTGATCTAGCTACCAAGGATGGCCAATCGAGAGGAAAGAATGCCGAAAAGCACTCCACGACTACTATACTGGAACTTCCTCAAGGAATTAACCTTTAAAGATGGCCTAGTCCTTAAGCAAGGTCGCATAGTACGTTATGCCGCCTAAAGTCAAAAAAAGAAAAGCTCAATACYATCCACAAAGGACACATAGGTCAAGAAAAAATACCTTCTCAAAGCAAGATTCTCGGCGTTTTGGCCAGAGATCACAAAAGATGTCACTGATGTAGTCAAACGATGCGACGCATGCCAGAAATATCAACACGAACAACAAAAGCAAAAAATGCTCCAACCTGAACCTCCTTGTTATATATCCGGCATGGCAGATTCTCAAATTAGACCTATTTGAGTTCAAAGAAAACAAACATATTCTGCTATTAGACAAATACAGCTATTTCAGTCCCTATCAAGAGTAAACTGACTAGCAATACTTCCCGTGCAATCATCAACCACCTTAAACGGGATCCCAGACCAACTAGCAACAGACAACGGTCCACAATATGCCTCAAAGGAGTTCAATGACTTCATGACTACTTGTGCCGTGGAGCACATACCCAGTTCTCAAACTCGGTACCCGCCCCCGGGGGGGGGGGG